TGAACAGAACATAAAGACTTCCCGGCTGGTCATGGCTGGGAGCTTTCTCCTTTAAAATTCTCCAACACTGCATGGAACTGCCTGTCCCCGGGGCCCTCGGCATTTCCTTTTTTGCTCTAGGCAGCAGCCCCTGCCATCGCCCATTCTGACAGGGATGATTTCCTTTCCGATGCAGCTTTGAAATCTGTGCTCATTTGACAGGAATGTTTTGCTTCCATCTCCTTTCAACAAAAGGACACATGACCACTATTGCCAAAGGGTCCCAAACTTTTGGATTTCATGCACCAGTAAAATATCCAAAAACATCCTAGGTACCAAAGCGCAGTAGCCAACTTTTCATTTCGCCAAGTGGGGATGTTAGAAATACAAAGTACCATTTGCCATCACCTCTAATTTAAAAACAGCACCAAGGAGCACCTCCTGGGGGCCTCAGTCAGCTGAGCGTCCGACTTCAGCTCAGGTCATGATCTCCCGGTTAGTGAATTCGAGCCCCACATCAGGCTCCGTGCTGACAGCCTGTCAATGCAGAGCCCGCTTCAGATCTTCTGTCCTCCTCTCTCTGCCCCTTCCCCTGCTTGCGCTGTCTCAAAAATAAAGATTTTAAAAATAAATTGGTAAATAAGGAGAACAGCAAAAATTAAAAAGTAGAAAAGACATTATCTCACAATAAAAGACACTCTTTAAATGGGAAAACAGCATTATAAAAAAAACTCAGGAAATGTTTAATTTCCTTATTTTATGGCAGACCAGTAAAAACTGTCAGAAGAACGTGCCCTTGACAGATAGGCACTAGGAACCACCACTTTGAGGCATTCGGGGGTGACTTTTGGGGTAGTGGAGAGAGAAAAGAGGAGTTTCAGCCTCAACCCCATGATGCAGATGCCCAGCTCAGAACAAAAGCGTGACCGCTTTGGTGAGGAGATCAGATAGTTGTCTGCATCCTGCTAAAACATGTAAAACAGCTCAAGAGAGGATGCCGACGGAGTCAGCGCTGATAGAGTCAGGGAGGGCTGGCTCCAAACCTCCCCAAACCTCACACTTGGCAAATCTGGGCCTCTGTGCAGTTTCATAAGTGGTTGATCCAGAGAGGTTATCTTCCCAAGCAGGTTTTTTTCTGTCAACAAATCTGGCCGGCTTGGAACCTTCTAGAACGTTTATTTACCGTGGTATTACATACATACATAAATGCCGTTTTTATGGTTTCCCCCAACCACCATTTTCAATATGCTGTTCATTGTACCGAACAGCCAACCGAAGTTTGCCAGCCCTGGTCCTCAGTGAGGATCTAACCCCCTGTACGGCAAGGGGCTTCGTGGCTCTGAGAACCATCCCTTGAGCAGAACTTCCTCCACACAGGAACCGGTCTTGTCGTCTTTGAAACCTCCCCTCCCCCTCCCGCTCCCCCCCCACTCCTCCCCCCCCCGGCAGCCAGTCTGGCCTAGAGAGGGGTGCTCACCAACTGTTGACGGAATAGAGTAGCAAATAAGCCAGAACCAGACGTGAGTGAATCAGAATAAAAGTGAGACCTGGAGGCCTGCAGGATTGGAGGTCTGAGGTTTCTAGAGAGTGAAAGATCCCATTATTAAAGTCAAGGGTGGGCCATCCTGGGGCCCAAGAGGAGAAGGATGGAAGCTAGACTGGCTTTGAAAAGCTGTCTAAAGGCAAGGACTGCCCACTCAGAGGTGGAGGGAGACTGGGATTGGGAGAGGCTGCATGATGCTCCTCTCGCCCAGGCCAGGCTTTGGTCCCGGCCCACAGGGAGATGGTCCGAGAGACGAGGCGTCATGCAGTGTTCGCGGGAAACCACTCGGGCCTTCCTCCTTTGCTCCCTCTCAGAACTAAAGCAGGGCCAAGACCTGCCCTGGACAAACCTGCTTCCACAGTGTTCACCGGCCTTGGTTGGGTGGCCCGGCTGGTCTCTGGTGGTGGCAGTGATGGGGCCTGTGGGTGGTCAGGTGGGGGCCAAGTCCACTGGGGCTGAGAGAGTGGCAGCCAGGCGACAGGCCCCGATTCTGCCATTGTGACAGTATGTGTCTGGGGAGGCGCTCAGGGTCAGTTCTCTGACATGGTCTGTTTATGTGGAGGCCAGGGGCCTGCCAGGAAGTGATGCTGAGGCCTCAGGAAATGCTCCGGCAACAGGATTCAGCTCATGGTTGGAATCCTGAAGTAAGACCTGTATTTCCCCACTGTCCCCTGAGAGGGCAGATTGCTGTTGACCCACATGATTCCCGATCAACTCATCCTTTGTGTCTCTGATCAGCACCACCTCCTTCAGGATGCCTTCCTTGACTTTCCCTTCTCCTTGACTCAGCCTGGGTTTGAGGCTCTGGCTGACATTTATCACATGACCTGTGTCCCGGCTTCCATATGAGACAATACACTTCATGAGAGATTGGTTCGTACTCCCAAAGGCCTCACATGTAGTGAGTGCCCTATGAATGCTCACTGAATGAATGCATGAACTGATAAACATGGTCCTTCATCATCTAAGATTTACTGTGTGGGCTCTGGAGAGGGATAGAGTCCTGAAGTCTCCACCACCTGCACATGTGCATTTGGTGGCTGACTTGGAGCCACCAGATCCCTTTGTTTTATCAGCAGCTCCAGGTCGAGGTTCAGAAATGGTAGGGAGGAAGGACCATACCAGCCCCACTGGGAGGCAGTGGGGAGGAAAGAGCCTGGGCTTTGCAGTCAAACAGACCTGGATTCGAATCCTAGATCCACCACTGACTAGTTGGATGCCCTCAGGCAAGTTTTGAATCTCTCTCTCTGAGCTTGAGGCCTTATTTGTAAAATGAGAATCATAATCACACTTGCTGCCAAAGATTGTTGTTAGGGTTAAATGAGATAGTATACGCAAAGTACAGTGCCTGGCATAGTGTAAATACTCAATAGATAGTAGCTGCCATAATAAAAAATAATAATACTTTTGTCATTGGTATGCACCCACTAGGGTTAAGGATGCAAAGAGTTGTAAGGGACAGTCGCAAGAGCTGATCTTATGAACCAATAGGGAATTTAGCCACGTATGTGAAAAACCCATTGTGCTGACTGCAGCGTGCCCACTGAGCAGTGTGCACCGTGAGTGCCAGTCCTAGTTGCTCACAGGAGGGTGCACTAGCTGGAGGTGGTCATCAGGGATGGGGAGGAGGCCTTAAAGGAACAGTAAGACTTAGGTAAGTGAAGAGGAATGGGAAAGAGTCCCAGGGAGGGGCCGCAGTACCCACAGAGGCAGAGAGAAGAGAGAGCCATATCCACAGGCCAGTCTGGCCACCGCAGGTTGACTTAGAGGGATTGACTGTTAGAGGGGGATCAGACTGGGGAAAGTGTTTGGTGCTGGTCTCTGGACTCGACTCCTGGAGGCACCCGGGAGCCAGCGAGAGTCTCTGAGAGGGAGGTGGCATGGGCCAAGTAGAATTTTGGAGAGATTTATTCAGACTGGACTCTGGTTTGGACTCCAGGCCTGTTCTCAGAACGGAGAGTACAGCTCAGGAAATCCCAGGCTCAGGACCTGTGTAGTGGCGCCTGGTATTTTAATGCACTTAGAATAACTGAGGCCCACGAGGGTCTGCCTAGAGATCTGCCTATTTCCCTGACCTCGCATGCTCTCCCCTATCACCGGACCCCATCCTCCCTGGGCCTCTGGCACTTCCTCGAACATACCATGCTCCCTCCAGCTCCCAGAGCTTTGGATGTGCCTTACTCTCTGCCTGGAAAACTCTGCCCAGACCTTTCTTTGCCTGTCCACCTCCTTTGTATCCGTTGCAGCCAGCTCTTCAGAGAGACCTGTCCTGATCTCCCCATCTAAAGTCAGGTGTGGGCCCCTGCATCACCCTGTTTAATTGTCTTCACAGCCTGAGATACTGCCCAGTGTTATGGTATTTTCTTATTTCCTGTTGGTCTCCCCCACTGGACTGTGAGCTCCATGTAGACAAAAACGTTGTCCCCAGTTTCTAGTACACAGTAGGGGCTCAGCAAATATTTGTTGAGTGAATGAGTGACAGATAGAGGGGACTTGGGGTTTAGAGGCTCCAACATGAGCCTAACCGTGCTCTCCCAGGCTCCTTCGTGTTCCCCGTGCAGGGCCCCGTATCCCAGTGCCTGCCTCTGCATGGGACTCCCTCTCCCACGGCTGCTGGTCACTGAAAGGGGCTCCAGATTTTGCAAGGTGATGAAGGGCAGTGAAAGTCATGGCTCTGGGAGCCAGTGGCTGCTGCATAGTGCCAGTTCAGAGGAAGGGGCCCCAGTCCAGCCCCACTTTGCCCCCAGGCTGGACCCAGAGCCCAGGAGGCAGAATTCTTCCTGCTTTTGGTCAGGAGTTCTACCACTTGCTATGGAAGATGAGGAGCTTGAGAGCAGATGCTCTCCAAAGAGGAAGAAGAAGAGAGACTATCAGTGCTGAAGATGTCTCGGAGAGACGCTTAGGATGCCCCCAGCCTCCTCAGTCTGCTCTTCATGTGATTCATGAGGAAACAGGGGCTCAATGAGGTCAAGATCACACAGCTCACCGAAGACAGGAAAACCCCAAAAACCCAATCCCCCCCACCCTAACTTTCAGGCCGGGGTTGAACCCTTTCCCATAAAAGAAACTCATTCATTCATTCACTCATTCATTGTTTGTTTGCTTATTGAGAATCTACTCTGTGACAGTCTCTATCCCAAGTTCTGGGGCGGCAGGAGGGAAGAAAACAAAACACCTGCCCTCTGGGACTTTCAGTCTGGGAGAAGAGACAGACAACGAGAAGTGAGCACAAATGTACAATGCAATCAATGTCGAGTGCTCCACACCTTTGGCCATTCAGTGTCCGCTTGGCTGTTCAGAGATGACAGGGGAACCTCTCCCTGGGGACCGGAGGATGGAGGGGAGACAAATGGGCCCAGGGAGCCTCCTAAGGCCAGTGTCAGCCTCCCTGCCAGAGTCAGGGAGGCCAAGCAGCACCAGCCAGGAATGTGTCAGGACGCCCGGGCGCCTGCCCTCACCCCTCTCCCTGTCTCCTCAGCTGTGTGCCAGCCGCCCTGCCAAAACAGAGGGTCCTGCAGCCGGCCCCAGCTCTGCGTGTGCCGCTCTGGCTTCCGCGGAGCCCGCTGCGAGGAGGTCATTCCTGAGGAGGAATTTGACCCCCAAAACAAGAGGCCAGCACCCCGGCGCTCAGCCGAGGGGTCACCCAACCCACGCAGGAGTGGCGGAGCCAGAGAAAGCACCACGACACCCAGAACACGCTCACTGGCATCACAGCTGCCACCGGCCAGGTAAGTCCCCTCCTCAGTGGGACCTCGGGTCCAGGGGCACAGTCTCTTTCTAAAGGGGAATCTTCCTGAGGACCATTTGGTGAAGACCTTGGTACAGAAGATCAGAGTTATCCTTCCTCCCCTCCTCCCTGCTCTCTTCCCCTTTCCTGCCCTGACCAGAGGAGCAGCGAGCAGGAAAGTGGGGGTTGGGGTTCACACAGACTTTGCCAGGCTGGGGTGGCCTGGGAGATGGGAAGTGGAGTCTCTTCCTCCACGTCCTAGGAGAAAGGAAGGCATATACCTGGGCCCTCTTGTTTCGAATCCTGGCGTGGCCACTTCCTGGCTGGGTGGCCTTGGGCAAGTTATTTACCTCTCTGATTCCTCATCAGGAAGGCAGGGACAATGATGATAATCACAAGCATGGAATGGTTGTAAGGATTAAGTTAGTTAATATGAAGAAAGTGCTTAAAACAGTGGCTGCCGCGTAGTAAACTCTTTATAAATGTTTTCCTCTGGGGCGTCTGGGTGGCTCAGTCGGTTGAGTGTCCAGAGACTTCAGCTCAGGTCATGATCTCATGGTTTGTGAGTTTGAGCCCCGCGTTAGGCTCTGTGCTGACAGCTCAGAGCCTGGAGCCTGCTTTGGATTCTGTGTCTCCCTCTCTCTCTGCCTCTCCCCTGCTTGCACTCTGTCTCTCTCTCTCAAAAATAAATAAACATTAAAAACATGTTTTCCTCCTCTGCCTCATCCTCTGCCTATGGTCCATGCAGAAAGGACCCCTCTGCCTGAAGAAACCTTTCAGTTCACTCGCTGCACAACAGTAACCTCTCTCTTGAAGAAGAGACGGAACATGTGGGGCGAGGGGAATGTTCATGGGCAGGATTCCCTGGCCTGCTTACCAGCCAACCTGGCTAGACTTTTTCTAGCTCTGGACAGGAAATCTGAACTCTGTAAACTGGTCCATTTCTAGGGGGCCATGTTTTCCTTTTGGTTTTTCAGGCTCGTTTTTCCATTCGCTTCCTACTTAAGATGTTCTTTCTGAAATGTTGCAACCTTGTCTTGCTGAACTAAGGGGAAAAAGGAGTTGTCCTCTGGGAAGCCAGGAGAACCAGGGAGAGGAGGCTAACCTCAAGGTCAGGGCCCCAAGCAGAAAAAGCTCAGGAGAGAAAGGAAAGGAGCATGAGATTGCCCAGCATCTCTGAAGGGGGAGGCAACGAGGGTCTCAGTAAGGTAGGGGTCCAGAGCCCCAACCATCCAAGCAGGTAGTTTCCAAGGGCGGCCTGAAGCACAAAGGGCAGAGGGATGGACTCAGGCTGAGGTCTAGGGAGATCCAAAATCAAAACGAGAAGAGCCAAACCCTTTGGCCAAGGCCTTGGGATGCTGGGGCAGAGAGAAGTGCAGAGCTAGTGGCCAGGTAGACAACATAGGAGGCAGAGTGAGTGGCCCGGCATTGGCTGTGAGCAGGTGGGCAGGGCCTAAGCCTTGTTATGATTGGTCCCAGCTGTTGGTGCAAGGTGGGTGGGTCTGGTGTGAAGGCACCCAGCTCCAGAGTCAGCCCAGAGCAGGATGGGAGTAGAGTCCTTCCAACACGGCATTTGCGGGCAAGCTCTCTTTCGGCTTGTAGGATCCATTCACTTTATAATGCATGGAACTCCTATGTGTGCGCATAGGTGGGGATGGGGGATGGTGGCTCGGCAGGCCATGCTGTCCCTTGCTCTCTGGGGTCAGAGCTGTTCAACATCCCCTGTTCAACATCGTGCCAGCCCATCCCACCCCTGCTGTTTTTCAAGCCCCAGTCTCACTTTTTCCAAAAGGTCCCCTGATCACTTCCACCCAACTCTGACCCCCTGCAGCCCACACCCCGTGGATCTGTGCCCTGTGTCTGCAATCAGACTGTGTGGCCTGGGCCCTGGAAGGCAGCGACTCCATTTCTCCTTTGGATCTCCCCCAAAGCTCCTCCCACAGCCCTAGCTTATAGAAAATGCTCAGCCCACATTTGCTTCACTGGGTCCAAATGGAAGAGTCCCCTAGAAAGGGTCCACCCAGCATTGAATCCTCACCTTGTACCTGGAACCGACACCCCAGCCACTGTGCTGCTCTGAGTGCAGGAAGAGGGGAGGCTCTGTGCTTTCCCTGGGGGAGCACTCCACACTATGCCTCGGGACGGTCGATTCATCTGCTCACCGGACCAGAAGCTCCCTGAGAGTAGGGACTGTGTCCTGCTCTCTTATGACTGTGTCCTTGGTACCTAATTCTGTGCTTGGCCCACTGTAGGTGCTCAGTTTATGTGAGCAAAATGAATAAATGGATGAGTCCCAATGCCGGGGAGAGAGGAGGCTGAGGTACATGAGCCTTTCATCCCCCAGCAAAGGATCCACGTGCGAGAGAGGCAGTGAAGGGCAAGGGCCTGCAGTGAGGTCAGTGGCCCACAGCAGGGACATCCTCTTCCAGCCTCACAGCCTCCCTGGCCAGGGGCTACTGTGTGGTCGTGAATGAGTGGCAGCCTCCAGGCCAGCCCAGTCTCCCTGTCTCTTCCCCAGGACCTCAGTGCCATGAAATCTGGGAAAGTCCGAGTGGCCCGCTGGCAGCCCAGCTGTGTTTTGCTTTGAGAGGCCAAATCCCGCTTGCCTGGTGGTGTCAGACATTTCCTGTGAGCTTGGCTAGGTTCCCCAAGCAGCCTTTGGCCTCTTTCCCCATGGCAACTTGCACAGGCTCTTGGTGTCTGGTTAGAGGGAGTGACATGAAGCAGGGGGCATTCTAGAAGTTGGGGGGGGACCCAAAATATTTAGCGAGGGGAGACACTGCAAGGATTGGTGATGTCCAGAAACCTGCTTCAGGAAAGCACTAGACAGAGACCAAGAGAGGCGTGTTCCAAAAGGAAGTTGAAAGGGAGGGGCCGGGAGCGTCTGGGGCAGCGGCGGCAGCACGCCCTATGGAGAGAGCCAGACACAGATCGATGTTGTCCAGCTGTGGCCGGGGCTGGCTGCAGGGGCCTGGAGACTCCCTCCGAGACCCGGTCCAGGTTTCTTCCCCAAGGCTGGTCAGAGGGCCTGCCCTACCTGGTGGGCAAGAGCCAGGCGGCTGGGGACAGGCCAGAAGAGGTTGGGGGGAGGGGTGGTGACAACAACCTGGGACAGACCGGCCAGCCACAGAGAAGCGCTTTACATGCATGCTTCTCATATTGCAAGGGGCATGTGCACCGCGTGGGAACTTGTTAACATGCAGCCGCTGATCCTACAGGTCTGGGGAGAGCAGCCCTAATGTGCTCTCGGGTGATGCCGATGCTGCTGGTCCATGGGCCACACCTGGAATAGGGCAGCTCCGGCCTGGGCTTTGGATTCAGATGATCCTGGGGATCCAATTCTGGATTTACTACTCCCCAGCTGTGTGACAGGAGGCACGAATCCTTAGTAATGAGAGTCAATAGTCCTCACCTGAGATGATGGCAGAAAGGGTGCCGGAGAGGAGTTAGGCCTCAGTACAGCTTCGCCATCAGCAGGCTGGTTCTTTTGGCTCTGGAGACATGGGTGGCAAAGAGCAGATAAAACCTGGGGTGCATGCCTGTGTGTATAGACCTGCTCGGGGGAACAGTCAGAGCCCAGGCCAGCCTCAGAGGAGCCGGGACTAGCAGATCCCACAGCAGCACCCAGAGTAGGTTTGGCTGGCTTGTTTGTTCTACCAGGAGCATCCTTACGGTAAGGAGGGGAGCCCTGTGGGAGAGGGGAGCAAGGGAGGCGTCATGTTTCTCAGAATGGGAGGCACCTCCCTTGGGTTTGCTCCTTAGCCTGACCCAAGGACCTAGAAGCTGGGCTCTGGGGACATTCTAAGCAGCGTTGCACACTCCTTGGACAACAACAGGCCTGGAGGGCAGTGCTAAGCGGGGGTGGTGGGGAGAGGTCGCGGAAGCTGTGGGCCCCGTGGTAGTGGCTGTCAGTGGGCTGCTCCCCCAGAAGGCAGCTAGAGTTCACCTTCTTTTTATACCGACCCAGTCTCTCTCTCTGTCTCTCCCTCTCTCTTTCTCTCCCTCTTCCCCCACCCCTCGGATCTCCTGCCCACACACCCCACTTCTTAATCCACCATGTTAGTTTCTTATGGCTACTGTAACAGATTGTCACAAACCAGCAGCTTAACCCAATCCACATGCGTTATCGTACAGCTCAATGTGCCACACATCTGCTCGGGTCTCACCAGGTTGAAGTCAAGGTATCAGCGGGCTCAGCTCCTGGAGGCTCTAGGGGGGAATCCATTTCCTCACTCACTCAAGTTGTTGGCAGAATTCGGTTCCTTGCACTTGTAGGATTGAAGTCTCCATTTCCTGCTATCTGTCCCTTGAGGGCTGTTTCTAGCCTAGAAGCCATCTCTGCTCTTTGGCTTGTGGCCATCTTCCTATCTTCCAAACCAGCAAAGGCACATGAACTCTTCACATTTTGAATCTCCCCCCTACCTTCCTCTTTGGCTGAATCTCTCTCACTGATTTGTCTGCTACCTTCCTCTACTTTGAAACATGGCCCACCTGGGTAATCCAGGACATTCTATTTTGTCAGCTGATTAGCAACCTTAATTCTATCTGCTACCATAATTTACCTTTGCCATTTAAAAAATTTTAATTCCAGTGTAGTTAACATACAGAGTTAGATGGGTGTCATTTTTTTTTTCACTTAATGTAATGTATTCAAAGGTAGACCAGGGGATAAAGGTCATGGGGGCCAACCAAACCCCCCCACTGCAGCGCATTCCAGCTGGGACCCTCCATCTGAAATGTAACAGCTCCCCCTCTCTAGGGCTTGCCACAGGGCAGCCCTACATGATTTGACCCCCAAAACCTTTCTGACATCTCTGATGTCCACTTTTATCACCCATTACCCTCATTCACTTTGCTTCTGTCACGTGGGCCAACTGGTGTTTCCTAAAATATGCCAAAGGTGCTCCTACCTCGGGGCCTTTGCACTTACTACCCTCCCCCCTCCGCTTTGGAATACTGTGTTCATATTTTCTAGAGTGGCCACAACAAATTACTACAAAC